TGTGTGTGTGTGTGTGTGCGCGCATTTATAAGTGAGAGAGAAGAGAGACAGTGTGCAAATTCTTGATAATACCTTAACTGTGCAAACATATGCAGAATATGCGTGTGTGTGCCTGTATTTGCATGCACAGTCTTGCGTCGTGCATATCTACAAGACACACAGATGCACACATTCTTGAAATTCACACAAGCGAGTAGCCAGCTTCACTTCCTCTTTCACATACAGACACACCTGTGCAAACACACACACACACACACACACACACACACACACACACACACACACACACACACACACCTGTCTAATTCAGTCCTCATGAATTTGACAGCATTTCATCCTTCAAATGCATTACAATACTGTTACTAAGCAACATATTCTCTATTATGTTAAAAAGCCGACCCTTGACCCTCTAAATCCCACGTTGTGATTGGCTGAGGCAGAACTTCAAAGAACAGCTTAGGATTCCATGGCTGGGCTGCAGATAAGCTTTCATAATGAGAATAGTTATGGAGCATTGTAAAATGAAATGCGGGGTGGTGTGTGTGTGCGTGCTAAGTTAAGGGATTAAATGCGGGTGTTTCTGAAGGGAGAGCGAGGGGTTTGCTCATTACCAATAATGGGTGAAGGGGCACGGCAAAGAAAATGTATTGAAAGTTTACCTGCACACATGCAGCCACCTTTATGTTCAGCTATTCCCAGAGAGACAGAAAGTATAACAGAGAGTACGGAGGAGAAAAATAATGTTTGGGTTCCTGGTCATGGGTTAAGTTGAGTGGTGAGAACTGGTTCACACCCACTGATAAGTAAACACACAGTCTGGTACTTATTAAATAGGCACACCGTTCCTCTCTATGACACAACATTGATCCTATTTAGCAACTTGCTGGCTCACAGCCATTCATTCTCTGATGAAATATCTGCTTCTATCAGGATTTGTGATTAACATAAGAAAGCATAGGCATTCAAATCCTGCAGAATCAAGCTGCTTGATTCAACTTGTAATTGAGCAGCTTTTTATGATTCACTCATTTGTTATTTAGTAAAAACCTTCACAGCTTAATGAAGATCTGTTGGTGTTGTTATAATGAATACTACCTAATTACTGACTAACTTCAGATTGTGGTAATTAACGCAAAAAATATGCAATAATCAATTTATAATACAACTGACATTTGCAGCCGGTTTTCTTCACTTTTGTCAGCATCCACGTCTAATTATTTCTCTGCTTGTGCTGCAGACGGAGAGTGAGAAGCAGAGCTGGAGGCCGGTGCTGGTGGTGCTGACAGAGAAAGACCTGCTGCTGTACGACAGTCTACCACGAAGCAAGGAGGTCTGGCAGAGTCCTGCACACACTTATCCACTTTTAGCAACACGGTAGGTTCACCACCATATGAACATGGAGATCCTCGACACAAACAATAGAGTGGTACAATGAAATATTTCTTATATATTTAAAAATAAATGTTTAAGAAATATGTTTTGTGGAGACTATTATACTACTATATTTTCTTGTCACAGTAATCACCACTGACAAAGACGTGTATGTTAGTTTGTATCTTTGTGAGCAAGATTACAAAAAATGACAATCACCACAAAACTTTGGGTCATGGGACATGCGTCAGGGAAGAGCCCATTACATTTTGGTGCAGATCCAGGAATTTTATTTTCACTTTCTTTAACATTTGGAATCTTTCAACATTGTCGTTGATTTCTCAGATAATAATTCATGGATCTTTATGAAGATGATAAGGTTTAGGGGACTGATATTTATAACGGTGTGTGTCATTTGGAGCAGATCCAGACTGTAATATGCTACATGTGATATGTTATAGTTGATTTATTAAAAACTACATTGACCGGCATTACCACAACCATTTTAGCATTTATATCACCTTAACTGCTAAGGACTAAAAACAGTCTTTAAACTGCTGCGAGCACGGCGGTAGGCTTTTGTTTAGTCACAGCTGTTGGTTTGACCTTTGAGTCTTCGTGTTACTGACTCAGTAAACAAATCATTTTGCTCCCTGATCCAGTTCTGACCAAAAGTTTTTGTTAACTTGTGAAGCAAAGTGAAGAAAAAATAATTCAGAAGTTTCCTTCCCTTCAGCAAGAAGGGATATGTATTAACAAGGGACTTCATAATATGTGTCTTCTTCCTTCTCTCTAAAGTAAATGACAGTGCATGTGTGTTTGTATTTATTCAGCCTGGTCCACTCTGGTCCTGACCGGGGGTCCCCTCACTCTGGCACTGAGCTGTACTTCGCCACTCGGACCGGCACACGTCTCGGCATCGAGACTCATCTGTTCCGGGCAGAGACGACCAAGGATCTGTCCCTGTGGACCAGACACATAGTGAACGGATGTCACAACTCCGCTGAGATGATCAAAGAAGTCACGACGAGTGAGTGCAGATATTTAGCACATCAACATAACGATTCAGTAACATACACTTAATGTGCATAATCTGACCCCATTGAACAGAGGAACACACACATGTAGCTGTGGTTAGAGTGGAATGAGCTGTACAGGTCAATGTGCTGAATTCACTGCTGCTCCATCAGTCGTGTTCAGGCACGCCGCAGCAAAACGTATCCTCAGAGATTTGAGAGTTTACAAGGGTAAGTATTGCCTCAGGTGTTCCAAGTCTAAAATAAATTCTGAATCTAGTGTATAAAGCAAAATGCAGACATACACAAACACAGACTCCCACATCCACCCAGATAGGGGAGGGTTTGTGATGTAATTTGACAGCCATATGGAAGATGTAGACAAAGCACATGCTATTTATAGAAAGGAATGCTATTCTAGTGTGTGTGTGTATGTGTGGTGTTTAGCATTGGGTATCGGTCGTCCAGGGAATTCCAGATGAATACCCCCCCCTCTTTTTTTTTTTCTTCTTTTGCCTTTCTCCTCTCTAAGCACAAAATGTCCTGGGAACTCAATTCTCCCCTGAGTCCCCTCCGCCTCTCTCGGTCTATGATAACACCATGCCAAAAGTTTCACTTCAAACTCCACTTATACATGAAACGGCACGGTTTCAGAAGCAAATGCTACACGGCCAGAACACCACACCCTTGTTGTCAGTGTTTATCACCGCCAAACTCTAGCCAAAACTCTCCTAAGTCACGTCTGCGCCCACTTATCCAGGTTTAGATGTTATGCTGTGATCGGCATGGAATACACTTCATTCAAGTCGGCACTGCTTCCACTTCCGAGGTGTGTGATGACAATCAGATTTTGTATGTTACGGCAGTTTGCTGGGAAATGTGAATGTTAAGAGGACATCTTGTTTAGTCCCATGACCAAACGCTGTCTAGACTGAGGCACGCTGCTCAGTATCGACGTGTTGTAGCATTGGTGTCAAAAGATTAAGTTTAAACCTGAGGTAATTGATTTTTGGACACCTGGGGACAATGGAAATAAACTTAACACTGACAAATTATCACCTTCTCACCAGGTTTATTTAATGAGTGTGTTAGCAAACAGTTTCTTATTTATACGCCCCGCAGATACAACAACAACATTAGTATTCAATTGTAGTCATGTTTGACTGAAATTAGATGAATGTTCTCGTAAATCTGTTTCTCTCCTTAGTAACTCTGCAGGTATTTACTGGCTCTTTAACAGCTAAAGAGCTGAGCCTACTGGAGTTGTGTGTTGTTTGGTCCTGGGCAGGTCATGTATAGTGGGTTCCCACATCTACGCCCACACTATTACTAATGACTTAAGTTTGATTACTTTTCTTTTTTTCACAATACAAAACCCAACAAAGTCCAACCAGCAATTTAACTAAGGAGAATAGAAATACTGTACCACTGATTTATCAAATTCACCCAAAATAATAAGATAATTTTTGTCTGACTGAAGTCAGTACATCAGCATGAAAATTTTAAATGTCCAGTAGACCTGTTCAGCCTCCACTGTACCACCAACACATGAAGACTCGTAGTCCTTGTTGAATGAACATGAATATATTCAGTATAATGGCTTCCATCATTTCTGTCATGATTTAGGACTTTTTAACTCTTGGATAAAGAATATTATGGACACTTTTGTTCATTTGAACTTTATCTGTGTTTCTTTGTTTCCATTCTGTGTTTCATTCTGTGTTTAGATTTGTTCCACTCTGTTTCCTGTTTTATTTTGAAAGTCTGATCTCCCTCGTGTTTCCGTTCACTTCACTTCCTGCGTTGATTAGTTTCACCTGTTTGTCCTGTGCCACCTGTCTCTAGTTTGTCATCAGTTCAGTTTGTATTTAAGTCCTCACCTCTGTCTCTGTCCAGTCTTCTGTTAGGTCTCAGTCTCTGTCAGTGTTGTCTCCAGTGTTTTCTTTTCATGGACAGTTTGAGTTTTGCCTTTTGTTTCTTCCTGGGCCTGCTCCTTGTTTTGAGCTGTCTGGAACAAATTCAGTTTTTCTTAATGAGATCTGCCTCCTGCTCTTTTCACAAACGATTTCTGTTGCGTCATCACCACATCCTTCTGCCACCAGCTCAGAGATATATTTACAATATGTTTTCTCTATTCTAGTCAAGCCAAGCATTCTACTTATAAATACTATATATGCTAATACCCTGGATTATTCAAGTACACTGGACATCCCTGTGCCCGTCCCTTGCCTCTGAATTTGGTGGAGAAGAATGATGGTGCTTGATGTCAGTGGATCTACAGGTCATTAGGAGTCATTCTGTAGAAACTATGAGTCAGTCCTTCCAATAATTTAATTTCAGTCTAGACGACAAGGTTGGACTGTCAGTCTGACGTTGCCTTGTTGAGTTGTGACGATGCCGTAGCTAAAAATATTTGTTATAGCATCTTTAATTTTGCACTGCACTGCTGATTTACAACACAGGTCAGAGACACAGGAAGGAGACAAATGGGAATGCTTTACAATCTTTATCACTCACTATCGAATTTCTGTCTTGAATGGATCCCATAACTTTTCCGAAACAGATTGATGTGAGCACTAAGCCCTTAGTTTCCTCTGATGGAACTTTCCTGAGGAGGAGTGTGATAATGCGTAGATTCACACATTTCTCAGCAGTTGCCATTTGACGAATCGTTGGGCTGACCTTGATGGCCTTTTCACTTGTGTAACATTTTGATAAATCATTGCGGTGGTTTATTCACTGTCAGGGCTCGTGATAAAGATTTGCTCTGAAGATAGATTTACTCTCAATCACTTAACGGGCAGCAGGCCATCCTTTGAGGGATTTTAATGGGGAAAGTAATTTATTCAGATGTGAAATCAAATGTCACCAGCACTTGGCCTGCTGTCATTTCTATTATCATTGTGTCCAATGTGACTTTTCAAAGTTGAAATTGATATTTTAAGAAATGTACAGGATAAGGTATTGCATAAAATGAAGTCCCAACATTGAGTTTTCCACCCTCACTTGTCTGTCTTAATGAACATAACAAAAATCTATAGTTTGATCCTCAGCAGTGATCCATGAAGCAGAGTGGAGAGAAATAAATATGGTATATATATTTTATGTACACTGTGTCGGAAATCATTCACCAATCACTATATACTGCACTATATAGTGAGTTCGCCATTTTGTAGTGGTGTCCGAATATTTATTGACATTTTGTACACCTTATATAATGCACTTATTGTTTCCCATAATGCATCATGAAAAATTGCATACAACCGATGGTCACTAACCATCTACCATCATTAACAGCACTCGCAGCGGAGAGGCGAGAGGAACGAAATGGAATGTGTGCAGAGCATCACAGCACAAACTGAGAAAACCCAAGTTTATCTCTACGTTTAAAGATGGCCATACAACATGTGTGAAATAAACGTTTAAAATTTACTGTGGGATTCCTCCACCGGTTGATGCTACTGATGTTGTACGTCATAATCCTGCGACAGTGACGTCATTAAGCGCCGAGGTTGTGTCAGAAAACATTTTAGTTGTTTTCCCGATGAGCTCATTATATAGTGTTCTATATAGAAGTGGTTGGAAGTGAATGAGTGATTTTGGACACAGTCTTAGTCGTAGCCGTGCTTATTAAAATCTACCTCCCAGTTTATCTCAAAATAGTTTAATTAATACAAAAAAGACACGTCACCCATTTGTACTTACAGTCTACAGTAGTGACATTGTTCTCTCATCTACTTTCCAATGTCAAGAATGAACCACAGAATAAAAATGACTTCATGAGAAGTTTACCTGTTCAAAGTTACTGCTTCTGGTTTCAGACCCGTGGTGTCACAGGTGACAGCCGTAAAGTCTCAGTCTCAGAGGTCGATTTGGTCTCCTTAATGACCAGGTAAACAGAGCACTTTAAAAAGCAATTTTGCCTCAGTGTGGAGAATTAACCCATTAACCTGCTGTGACACTTGAAGTCGAGCGCAGTGGGAAGCACTTTTGAAGCTGAAGTGCTTTACCTGCTGCTAATATAATTTACAAGTTTAAAACAAATGGCTGAGAAAACCAAGTTTCTGTCCTTTAATAACCTTTTAACGTCTCCACCTGTTGTTATGGTGACAGAGTTGGTTTCTCCCTCCTGCACTGTCTCTCTCTTGCCCCCATTCATTCAGGTCCTCTCTCAGTGTTATCACTCTCACCGCTCCCTCCCCTTCGCTGTCCCTTCCACTCACTGTCAGGCAGAAAGAAGGGCTTTTGTTGCAGCCTGAAAAGCCCCTTTCTCTGTGTTTGTGTATGTGTGTATACGTGTGTGTGTGTGTGTGTGTATTCTGGTGGGAAACCCGGCTTGCCTCAAAGATCAAGGCTCTCAGGTAGAAGAGTCGAGTTTCGGGTCTAATTTTCACCCCCGGAAACGACAAAGACCCTACACTCTTTGCCCCATTCACAGCTGTTATGCCATTAGGGAGCCGTTTGTCGTTGTTGTGTATACATCATCACAATAATATTACACATTATGAGACTCATTTTTCATCATGAATGGTGTGTCTTTAGGATATTACACTGTATATCCGACGGGGTGCATGCCTCATTTTTCTGTTTGATTCACAGTTTCCTTCTCATCAACAGTACTTCCTGCTGTTTGTAGTGTTGCTCACAGTTGATAAGGAGAGGATGGATTAATGCAATATTCTGCTGCTCTCCTGAATCAAAACCTCTCAAACCCACACTGCAGTTAGATTTGGTGGAACAGGCTCTGCTCTATGAGGGAGAGAAACTCAGCAGTAATGTGAATTCTGCTGGGAGAACCAATCCTCACTTAACAGCTGTAAGTGTTCATTTTAGCTGCTCAATTACTCTAAAAATATAGCACATTAGCATGAAGAAGATGTGGCAGATAGAGCAGCAACAATAAACAGTTGGTATTCTGGACAATGGCATGTATCTTGACTGGATGTCAGCATTTAGCTGGTAGCCAAGCAGCCGATGGTGAAGCATGGATGAACCTAAAGCTGCTTTCTCCAGGTGTCTTCCATCCACTGTCCAAACACATGCAAGTGAGGGTTAGGATTGATTGAAGACTCTAGATTGACTGTAGGTGATAAAGTGAGATTGGAACTTTAGGGTTAGTTACGTTTTCTTTCCCTGTCATGGGTGCAACCCGCCTCTTGCCCATAGTCAGCTGGGATTGGCTCAAACACTCCCATGACCCTCAAAGCTGGATGGATGGATGCACAGAACTAAAGCTCCGTCTATAATTTCTGAGTCCCCACCATTGGCATTGTGAATAAATCTACAGTTTTATTTTGTGTGCCTGTTTGTAATTTAGGCTCTGACTTTGCAAACATCTTTATTTATTATTTATTTATGTCTTAATTAACTTGACACTTGTAAAGTGACTACTGCTACTTGGTAATCAAAGTAATTAGACTCACCTTTGTAGCCCTGTTTGTAATTGTGAATAAGATATTTCAGTGCTTTTCATTCATTTATCCATCACCACAAGTGAATGAAGAAACCATGTTACACAAACAAAGGCAATTTATTGTGCATTACTATTACTTGATTATAGTACAACCCATCCACATGGTACTCTCTGGATAAATCAAAGTTGTGTTTGACTACAGTGAGACGTGAATGTATGTTTCATAATCGCCTTTTGATAAAGAGGCGAGCGAGGAAGGGATTTAGATGCCTAAAGGGAGATTAGTGTGTTTTGACTGACATGAAATACAGGAAACCGCCTGTTGCTAGTCAGATAAAAAGGACTGGAGTATACCCACAGACAGCGACAACACACACACACACACACACACACACTCATACATATACATATTAGCATTGGTATTGTGTTACTCAAAGAGAGAGAAGCCACAGGCTCACATATGTATCTGCATTTGTCTTCACGTTCTGGATCTGCAGAATGGAAAATGCTCTCCCTGTCCCTCCCAACAAAGTGGTGTTACACACACTCTCACACTCATAAGTGCACACATTCAACACTGTCCTCTACATGCTACACACACACACACACACACACACTTTGATTGTACCTCTATCTTAGTGAGGACACTCAATATATATGATACATTCTCTAGACCCTGACCTTAACCTAATCCTAACCCTAACACTAAAACCAAGTCTTAACCCTCAAACAAGAATTTGTGAGGACCAGTCAAAATGTCCTCACTCTCGTAAAACGTCCTCACTCTGTAGGGTGTATGCTTAAA